TATATATATATATATATATATATATATATGCGCTAAAAAGTTTAGAAGTCAATTTTTTTTTTTTTTTTGTGTTTTTGTAATTCGCTACTTGGGGCGTAGTTTCATTGTTGTTTCCTAACTTTCTTTAATAAAGGGTTATAAAGTTTGATATTAGCATTTAGTATCGAGACCATCTTTAGATGATGACTCTGATAGGAGTATTTTATTTACTTCTTTTTATAGTATATTTTAGCATATTTTTATTATTTATTTTTAATTAATCATTATGCACATTATCATTTGATTTATTTTATATCTATATCGGTTGCTTTCGAGTTTTTATGTATAGTTGTAAACTTTTATAAGATTCGAAGCGATGCGAAGTTGATTGAGAGATATGGGGGACATTGATGGACAAAATAACAATCCAAATGGGTTTGAGAGGAAGAACGAAGGTGTGCGCCAATTATGTGGGCTAATAAGCATAAAAAGAGTATTGCAAGTTATTGGCTAGTTGTGGTGAACATTTGGACCAAAATTTAGGTCTAAAATGGGCTAGTAAACAAAGAGAATGAAACAAGAAAGATCATGCTGAAAATGATATTTCCATGCAAGTCAAAGCTTTTACACAATTTACATAGATTTTTTACACTACAGTTTATGCGGGTTCGGGTAATTTGCAGGAAAATTTTGTCTTTTCACATTTAGAGTTGTTATATGGGGTATGATTGGTGCCACTTTATATAGATCTTGACAAGAAGACTTGAGAGCTATTCTTGGAACTTCTTGTAGGCCAGTTCTAGGGTTTTCTTCATTTCTCATCCTTAAAACTTCATACATTTGAAGTTTGGTACAATTAATCTATATTTTATTTTTTTAACTATATGTAGCTAAGTTTCCACTAATCAACAATGGAAGTATTCCATGAACAATTAGTTTATTTTGAAGGTATTATGAACTTATGTTTTTAGATCTATGAATGTTGTTTCTTATTTAATTTCTAAGTTCTTGTGTTTTTATTTCATGATTTTAAATACTTGAATGATATTAGTTAGTTGTTTTCTTAATTAAGTAACGGATCTTCAAAACAATCAATAAGAACGAGTTTTATGGATGTTTTCATCTCATTTTAATTTTATGGAATTGTATTCTCCAAAGTGGTAATGTAAGCTTTTGAGTCCTTTAAGATTTGGTGATTCTTATATCTTAAAGATAATCATTTTTGATGAACTAAATGCTTATTTGATTTACGACCTTGATTAACAAGGCGTGTTAAGAGCTTCTCTAACCACCATACTAATTAAGAATAATCTATATGTGACTCAAGCTTTTGAGTTGCTATAGCCAAATTAGATTAATTCATAAGTATTGCACCATAATTTCTAATGATAAATTAGCTAGTTGTTTATATGAATAAACTCCAACATTGATTACCTCATCTCAATTGATATATATACCTCATCTCAATTGATATATATCACTTGATGGTTACTCTTTTGCATTACTTACTTACTTTTTTTATTTTAGAATTATAATCAAACAAACTAAAACCCCCTTTTTATTTTAATTGTCGTTTTATAAATATTGATAGACTAACAAATTGAACCAATCTTCGTGGATTCGATATCTTTACCACTATACACTATAAAATGTGTTAGAGTACAAAGTTATTCATTTGTTAGCCTTGACAACCACCGACCTCTATCGATGTCTTCCTTATACATTCATGTATTACATTTGGTTGCAAACAAAATATGTTTGTATAAATATCATATAATGTTTCAAAAATATTGTTCAAAGTATCAAATTTGAATTTAGAAAAAAAAAACTAGGGTCTCTCTGGGTTAAAATCAAAGCATCAACTATTTTTTCTAATAAAGTATGTACGTCACCAACATTTATGATAGGGTTCAACCGACGGTCATATATAAACACGAGAGGTAACTCCATTTTCTTATTTTATTGGCGGGATCATTTGCAAAAAGGAGCTGCTTCGTATACAACAATTTTTCTTTATATCCAAAAATTTATGCTTTAAAATGTTGTATTGCATAACTCTATAAAACATAAATTGTTGCATACAAAATATTTCCCTTTGCAAAAAAATCAAGGTACATATTCGTTTAATTTCTTGTCATTATTTTTTTTATTAAGAATAAAAAACTAACAAGGTAATAAATGACCGATAAATAAGTGGTTGCTTCTTTAAAATCAATTAACATATTGAGTCCGACTCCAAAGTTGACTTGACCTTGTTTTTTCGGCTAGGTGATCATGAAATACTTTTAAAGAATTTATGTTCATGAAATGTTTTTAAACATTAACGCTTTTTATTTTTACGCTCCACCCTCTAAAACTCCACTTTATTTTGACCTATATTAATTAATTTTTATTATTTCTTTTTTAGGCTTTGGTAAAAAGTTACCGTCAAATTGTGACATCTTCCCAATAAATATTATCTATTTTATTTATTTACTGCACACATTTATTTGTTTTATTTATTTTTTAGTTATATATCTTTTTTTCTATATTTAAACATTCGTAGATTTTTTTTTCACATTCTTTCAACAATAATGATTAAACTCATATGTTACTATTTTATTTTGTTTCCATATATTGTTATAAAATATTATATTTGTAATAAAAATATAATTTATTTTATTATATTAAAACGAGGCATACATTTTTTTTTGAATAGGAATAAAGATTTATATTATATAATAGAAATATAATTATTGTTTATGTAAAAGAATAGAAAAAGTTTATATGATTAATGCAATATGAATAATTTATTTAATAAAATTTTAATATAAAATATTAATATTTTCTTTTTGAAACAATATATTCAGATTTTATTTATTTTATTTTTATTTTTATTTATTTATTTATTTATTTTGCAAATATGTCTCATAAATATGTTTTTATAAGATTTTTATTAATATATGTATTTATTAACATTACAATTTTGGGCTTCTAAAAATACAATCATTTTTTTCTTTAAAACACATAAAATGACAAACGATATGTTTTTTTATTTAATATTATGGTGATGTTTCCTATGAATGCTTTGCTTCGTTTGTCATTAAAAAAAATTACTTTTTGTTTAGTTTAGTTTAAAAAAAACAAACATTTTTCAAGACATATTTACTTTTTAATGTTTTTTTTCTAAATTTTGGTATTTATAATCATTTATCTTGTAAAAACATTTAAGAGAAAATTTAAAAAATAATAAAGTAAGTAAAAATTTAATTGAATAAAACAAAATAATAATAAAGTTTGAAAAAAATTTAATAAATTTTAATGATCAAATAATAAAATTAATAAAGTTAGTATAATGATTGGAAAGTGTAATGATGAAGTAATAAGGTTAGGAGAGAGAAAAAAACTTTTTCGGAAAACAATACCTAGTATATTAGAGTAAGTGTAGAATGAAGTGTCTATAACACCATCCTTACCATATTACTCATAAATATGATAATTTTGGGGTAAAACCGGCTTTAATGCCTTTTTTTTGAATTGTCACATTATAAAAAAGACTAGCATACAGGTAGAAGAAAAATAATTACAAAGAGTCGTAAAGAAGAGAGTTTTGCAACCACTGGATCCAAGACATATTACTTTTACGACATCTATTTGATAACCAATTGAAAGAATGAATGACGATATTTTCAAAAATATGACTTTTCCTCATGTTATTCATCTAGAACACCACACTATTCCTGTAAGACCAAATAACCCAAATCGTGGTGATAATAATAATTCAACAACTCTTCGTTTCGTATGGCTCAATGTAGTGCTATCAATCCAACTCAAAATCTCAGAGACATTTAGGAACAGAGGAAAAAGAAGATCAAGCCACTTTACCACTTTGTTCCAAATTTCTTTAGCCATGTCACAAATAAGAAAAACATGACAAAAAT